GGGGCAGCAGGTACATGGGAACACCGCCCCCCTGCACATTCCCCTCCGAGCCCCTCACCATCCCGACTTGGGAATATAGATCGGAGAGGTTGGGGCTGCTTTCCTTGGGGAAAAGAGGCTGAGAGGTTTTCAGACTTGTCAGTGAGCTTGGGAGAGAGTAAGTGGAGAGGCAACGGTTCGCGCTGATAAAAGGGTATTGATTTACAATGGCGTGTAAATGAAGCGAGGGCGATGTCAGAAAGAAAAGACACACGTACAAATAAAGTCACCGTGGACCTCATTAGAGAAAGGGGCGACAGCTGGTGGTTTAACCTGAGGGTCACCATGGCCTGTGGTGAGGGGGAGAGAGGTTGAGAAGGAGAGTGAGAATTGAACCCACGCTGTTGGCACAACACAAACTGGAAACAAGAGGTTAACGATGACCGTGAATCCATTGCCGACTGTCAGAAAAACCCATCTGGGTCACTAATGTCCTTTAGGGAAGGAAGCTGCCATCCTTACCTCGTCTGGGCCTACATGTGACTCCAGACCCACAGCAATGTCACGGACTCTTTACTGCCCTCTGGGGCAATTAGGGATGGACAATAAATGCTGGCCTAGGCAGCAACACCCTCATGAATTTAAAAAAAGCCTTTCGGCCAACTGAACTAACTGAGTCCGCTCCAATGGGAGTGTTGGGGGAGGGGGTAGGCAGGTCCAATTGAGGCATTAGAGAGGGGCAATTGAGGCATTAGAGAGGGGCAATTGAGGCATTAGAGAGGGGTAATTGGGGCATTAGAGAGGGGCAATTGGGGAATTAGAGAGGGGCAATTGAGGCATGAAAGAGGGGCAATTGGGGAATAGGGGGGGGCAATTGGGGCATTAGAGAGGGGCAATTGGGGCATTGGAGAGGGGTATTGGATGGTTATCTGGATGTGCAGGGATATGGGGAAACAGGCTGAAGATTGGGCGGCAGGCGTAGACGACGCCCAGTCGAAGGGATAGTATCGGCGTGACAGGCCGACTTCCCTCTTTCCGCGCCCGGGACAATTCTGCGAACATTTCCGACGTCCCTTAAGCCGCGGCTGGCTCTCAAAGGGGCACTGGAGGGGTGACCCTACACCCTACGGTCTGCAGGGGCACACACACCGACCCCCCCCACGCCCCCGCCAATCCCCCCGCACGGGAGTGACCGGACACGGAGGTGCCCAGCGTCAGGTATACTGACCTGGAAGTCGTTGATCGATGGCATTGGCTCGTTGGTCCTTCGCCGCCTGTGCCACTGTTTGAGAGAATGCCTGATCTCCTGGCTGATACCACCCATAGCCCGGTGGGCGTGGAAGTTCTGAAGCTCGAACATACTGGCATACAGACTGGTGAGGTAGTAACCACCTGCGATAGAGGCAAAGCAGCTCAGGTCAGAATGATGTGGAGAAGTTGCCCCGTCGTACAGAGGATATTAATTAAACCGGAGAGGGCTCAGGAGACATTTACTGGGAACGTTGCCGGCCTCGGAGGGTTTGAGATACAAAGAAAAATGGGGACTCTTTTCCACTGGAGCGTTGGAGAGTGAGAGGCGACCCGATAGAAGTTTATAAAATCACGAGGGGGCACAGATAGAGTTAACGGTGGGTGTTTTTCCCCCTGCGAGGGGGGATTTCACGACCACGGGGCACATCTTTTGGAGGCGAGAGGAGAGGGATTTAAAAAAGACACGAGAGGCAAATTTATTTCACGCAGAGGGTGGTTCGCGTGTGGAATGAACTTCCTGAGGAAGTGGTGGATGTGGCTGTACTTACAATGTTTAAGAGACATGTGGATAAGTCTCAGGGAAAGGCTTGGAGGGAGGTGGGCCAGGAGCAGGCAGGTGGGACTAGCTCGGTTTGGGACTACGTTCAGCACGGACCGGATGGGCCGAAGGGTCTGTTTCCGCGCTGTGTGTCTCCCCCACAAGACCAAACACTTCTAAACCGAGGTACCATGGACGTCAGCAAGCGTTGGTCATGGGTAACAAAGCCAGAGGGTGGCCAGGCTTGGGGGGGAGACACAGAGGTAACGTTCCGAGTGCTGTAACCCACCTTCAGGACCGGATTTATTCTGAA